AACTCTTTGAGCTTAATGTTACATTCTGAAAAGAAATTAACTAACCCTCCAAATTTTTGTTGCTAATGCTAATATATACCCTTTTATTTGTAAATATCAAAACAAACCATTGCTAATGCTAATATGTACCCAATACAGGATCTTGGGTACAGGTCTATAACAATGGGGATGTGTATGAGGGAGAGTTTCATAAAAGGAAGTGTTCAGGGAGCGGGGTGTATTATTACTATATGAGTGGGAGGTATGAGGGGGATTGGGTTGATGATAAGTATGATGGGTATAGGGTGGAGACCTGGGCGAGGGGGAGTCGATATAGAGGGCAGTATAGGCAGGGGTTGAGACATGGCTTTGGTGTCTATCGGTTTTATACGGGGGATGTGTATGCCGGTGGGTGGAGTAATGGGCAGAGCCATGGGTGTGGTGTGCATACGTGCGAGGATGGGAGCTGGTATGTTGGGGAGTTCAAGTGGGGAGTCAAGCATGGGCTGGGGCTAGTTTGATGAACTTATATTTGGTTCTTATTGCTTGTAGTCGTTCTTTTTTACATTGAATATGGTTATTGGAGCATATTCTATACTACGCTGCGACTAATACTTTCTGTCTTGAACTTAACTTATTTACGTTTGGGGCAGGCATTTCAAGGAATGCTGTATTGTTAAATCACATATTTTATTTTTTGAACATCCTCCATTTAGTTTTCTTTGAAGATTCAGAACACCTAGCAAGTAGCTATATACTTGGTAGGTTAAAACAAATATACTGGGGAATACAATCATACGGTAGTTTCATCTTTGGATATGGCCATAGATGTCTTCCAGATTCAATGCATAACTGTATTAGTTAAATTATTCAAAAATTTCCTTATTTCTTCTTTACTCCAAATATGAAGCTTTACAATTGCCAAAGGAAAATCTTAATATGCAACAATACATTCCTAAACATTTAATGATATGTTCATGGTGGAGGGAAGGTTATGACTTACTTGGGTGAGCGAAAATCCTCCCCATGTCCCCTCCAATGCAGAGGAAGGTCTGTTCATGTCCTTTTCTCCATTATCTGTCACCTTGGAGAGAAGCCAATAATCATTAATGACAAGCCATTCTGCTACTAGAGAAATGGCTACAATAACACTGTACATACACTTCCATGTTTTTCCTTGTTCCCTTTTTGCTGGCAGAAATAAGATGTTTATATTTAATATGTCAGCTTATATTGGGATCCATATCGCAAAGAGTCTACTTCTCTCTCAATTCAATATTCTCCCTTTATATGGATCAGAGCTTTGTTTGTAAGGTGCTCATCTGGGGGATTGAGGGAATTTTTGTGTTAATAAGAGGAGAGTTTCTTCAGTGTGAATATTTTGTTTGGGAATTAAGAGGATATTGATGAGGTGTTTGTACACTGGCAGCCAATATTTTGGTTTACTTCTAAGTTATAACTATATTGGAGCTTATGTTGGTTTATAGGCAGAAGTGTAGGAATCTTTCTTCATTGTGATAGAGAGTTATGTTGGTTTACTTCTAAGTTATAACTATATTGGAGCTCACATCTTCGTTTATGTTTTACTTTTTACAGTATTAGATATAATTTGTAGCAAATTCTAAGTTATAACTATATTGGACCTTTATATTCTACTTATTTGAATTTTTTTGAATTAATTTCAGGGGATGAAGGATGCGAGATTGATGTTTTGATGGGCTCACTAAAGTCAAAAACCAAGGACTTCGGCATATTTTTCTCTCTCTTTAGTTAATATTCTCTATATACGAAATTGATTGTAATAGATTTTGTTGGTTAAGATTTTTTATATGAAATTGATTGTAATAGACTTTGTGACTAGAAATTGATTATACTTTATATTAGGAATATCATGACATTTGCTTTAGATTTGTTTTGGTTCTTTCATTGACATTTCTTTCTGCAAATATTATGTGTGAAAATTATTGTTCTTTAATTAGCGGAATTGTGGCTGTGCTTCTGCTTGTTAATATTTACAAACTCGATGTTGATGGCCACTCAACATCTGAATCAAACAATATGAATCTAATTCCAAAAAGTATGAATTAAAATTATGTTGTGATAATTTTCTTCCTCTTTTCTTAGAAAGGTAACCAAACAAGAGAAAATGACTTTCTTATGAATTTTCTTCTAACTTTCCTTATAATATTCTTTCTAACCAAACAATAAAAAGAATATCATTTTCTTTTCTTTTCCTTTCTTTTTACTTTCTCTTTCTTTTTCTTTTCTCTCCCTTTCCATCAAACCAAACACAGCCTAAGTGTCTTGTCCTCGCTGGGAGCAGAGGTCGTTTCGTTACTATTCTTAAAATCTTTTTTCTTGTTGCTTCGTAAGAAAAGGTTCTAAATAGTTTCTACCTTTTTAGAAAAACAAACATATGTATTTTAACAAACAAAGACTAAAACCAACAAGTCTAGATTCTTTCCATTACAAAAGACTAGCGGAGAGATCATTACTTTTAATCTCAACCGCTGATTATCTAATGGATAATTGTGATACATTCTAAATTTGACACTCACAGTACCCCGTGTATTGTACTCGTTCCTAATTTGTACTCAAAAAAAAAAAAAAAATCACAACCACATATTATATAATCAATTGTTGTAATTAATTAATAGTGGTCTTTTTTTATAGTGGAGAATATCCGAATCCAAAATCAACATAGCTAATGAATCTTTAAACTAAAACAGAAACCAAGCCATAATCCTATCAAGGTGAATTTTCCATATTTAATATCCAAGACTCTAAAAATTAACGAAAGAAAAGTACAAATTCAAACTGAAAAATATATTCATGCAATAGAACAAATTACAATTTTGTTACACGTGCATACTTAAATCTTGATTTATCCTTTTACTTTTCTTTGAAAGGGTACATCAATACCAATTTGTATGAATGTTCTGGTAAGATTTATATATAGCCAATAAATTGCAATCAAATCGTATGAAATTAAAAAAAATCGCAATCAAATTGTATGGAAAACTACTATTCCAGTGAGATTTATACTGATTGAACAATGGCCGTGTCCCTACATACAGGACACGACCAGTTATCGATCAGCCACTCATCGACACAACCTCGATGGAAAACGTGTTCGCAAATCGGTAGCACCCGAATCTCTTCCTTCAGCTCGAACTCCTTCAAGCATATGGCACAAGGTTCATCCATAATACGTGAAACCATACAAACGATTAACTCTTCCAACTTCTTTCTATTGCGTTCACGCACAATAAAAGAAGGAAGCTCATCGTCATCGTCTTCGTCATCATCGGAAACTCCATAGAGACATCCGCATGCCTTGATTATGCAATATAGGGCTCCCCCAAGGATGCTGCAGGAGAGGAGGACGATGCATATGAGGGTGAATTCATTGATTCTGTGATTACTTTTAGGGAGTAATCTCATGGTGGGATGATCGAGATTGGATGATCGATGAAGTATGTGAAAGGGTTTTAGTAGTTGGATTCGTAAAGGAGAGATAATATTGTAGAAATTACGGAAGGGCTTTAGTTATATGAATCTTATAATATGCTACTTGAAATTGTTATACGTAAGTGTTTTCTTTTACTAGAACTTCTTTTTTGTTACACTTTCCCTTTCTTATTAGAGTACGTTCATGGTGTTTTATGTAGGTATCCAAATTCTTGACAGTAATTATATATGACTGTTATGGAAATATTGGAAGTGGTATGGCGAGTTTACCTAAGATTTTAAGCTCCCTTTATTTCAATTATTGTTCGGCTTTTGGTCGGGCTGAGCCAAGCGAGTGCACTTTCTATTAGAACACCGCGCTCTGCAATGAGATCAGAGCTACAGAAGGGAGCTAGTAAAATATCTAAATAGTCTCCTTATGTGTTATCTCAATGGCACAGAATGTCTTGCACGGCGCGAGGCGTTATGATAAGCTATGCACTAGCCCAAGGCCCACCCACATCCACCACAATAAGTTTAAGCCCATAACCACTGTTGTTAATTAGCTTTCTAAACCAAGTCGAAGTCAACGTGAGAGAGAAAAAAGTTGTTATTTGATTGTTTTTCTCCCTCACATTGTATTGTTCCAAAACTACAAATTGTTGTTGCCAATCGTAAACGCTTGTTGCGCTTTCGTGTGCTATGGCGACATCTAATTTTTTACTTGCTGAACTTTTATGTTATGTCATGTGGTACATAAGTTGCATGAATTCCAGCCCGTTAAGGTAACAAAAACCTGCATTTTGCGACTGCGTGGAGGATACCAGTGTCATTCTCACGCCCGAGCTAAGATAAAAACTTATTCCGTAATAATAAAATAGCGACATGTAGCAGTTGGCCTCAAATTCTCTTATCAATAACTTCAAAAGTTTAACTACAATATATTCTATACGTACATTTTTTTTCACACATGATTATTGATGTTGTCTTATTAGGGCTACAAGCATTGTTCGGCTCACACCGAACAAACCGACCGAACCGCCCGACTTTGGGCAGTTCGGTGTGGTTTTGAGAAAGCTTCGGTTCGGGCCGGGTTCAAATAAGTACAACCCGATTAAACCGACCCGACCGAACTTTGTACACCCGCCCAATACCCGCGTAACCCATACCCGATACTCATTACCCGACTAATATAATTCCCTCATTCAGAACCCCGACCCTAAATCTCTCTCTCTCGATCAAATCCTAAATCTCTCTCTCCCTCGATCTGGTCCCCACCGCCACCAACCCCCTCTCTCTCGATCAAACCCATTACGAAGCCTCTCGCCGTCAGCCCCCAAAGGGGTCTTCGGAGGAGTAGAGGGAGCCGAGGTGGCGGCGGAGGAGGGTTTTGAGGAGGGAAGGGGAGAGGGGGAGGTCATCATCGTCGGTGAAGGGATGGTCGTGTTCTTACTGCACCTAGATACTTCTAGTCCCTTTATTTTTTGCGTTTTTGTTTTTGAGTGCAGCTGTTTGGCGAGGGCGGCACTCCGAAGAATTTGCTCTCTCAAACCAAGCTAATATGAAATACGTTTATTTTCTACGTGAACTTTCAACGTGCCTAGTAAATAGGCTGTACATGTTCTTTAATTTATGGTTCATGTTCCAATAGAGTTTGTATTCAAGGGACAATCTTCATGTCTTGACAAAGCGGGCACAACCAGTTCTTGATTAGCCATTCATCAACGCATCTCCGATTGAAAATATGCTTCCACAGTGGTAACATCTGAACATCTTCCTTCAAATCGAACTCACTCGAACAAATCAAACTGTGTTCACCATCAACACCAACAATGCATGAATCAATGTTACTCACCGATACCTTTTCCAACTTCTTTCTATTGCATCGACAATCAAAATAGTCCATGACGTAGAGCAGTATTATAAGAAGTACTTCACTGATGAAGACGAGGATTAAGCCGATAGTATTGCTGATTTCATCATCCATGAGATCTCCGAGGATAAACTTAACAAGTGAAAGGGAGAGCTAAGATTTTTGAAAAGCGAGAATTCCATAAATAGAGTTATTAGAGTTATAAACAAAATTCAAGGTAACATCGAACTAATTATTTAAGTTTTTGAGAAAAAGGAGAGGTTGTATTGAAGTTGTATTGAATTGATTAGAATAGGAGTTACAATTAGATGTGTTTTTCCCTCTTTTACACTAGTTTATCTTGAGTTCAAATAGGTGGTGTTTGTATAATTTCTGATGACATCTGATCAAATCTGCTATTTACCATCACGTGCCTGGCACGTGCGCTCCTGTACTGCAGCCGTTGATGAAGTGACTCCGACATTTGATAGAAAAATTGGTCATCCCATCTCTGAATCAAGGAAGGATCCTCTGCATAACATATGTATATTGATGTCACCGCACTTTCAACAACCACGAGTGCTAGCCCTACCTGGGAGAAAAAGAAAAAAGAAAAGATGAAGCCATGTAGACCTTAGCAAATAGCCATCTTAAGTAAAATCAAGACATTGAAAGAAATCTTCATGAGCTTATACATATATTTCTTTTACTAGGATTTACAGGTATATGGAACTGGGATGGGTTTAGAGACCATGCATGCATAAGTTCTATGTGACTTTCTCGCACAAAGTTTATAATTTGTGCGTGTATCACACTTAGGGGTGCCAATTACCACTTATTGATCATGAATATGGACATACATTCAGATAAGGACCAGGTTCCATATGGAGATTCATAACCATATCCGTAAAAAATCAAATACGACTACAAATCAAATTAAACCTCTGGCTCACCGAAATTGATCTTGAATCTATTAATCTTAGCTCAAAAAAAGTTCCACTGTAATTCAAATGTGACACCGAATATTTTAGTTACATATGTATCAGTGTTACCAATGCGCGAGGCGAAATGCAGGGCGCAAAGTCCCTTTATGTGCACAGGCACAAAGCGAACTGTGATGCACGTGCCCACATGAAGCATCGTGCAAACCGGATAGATAATTCTTCAAGATAGATAATCAAGCACGAAATAAAATGTTTATGAATTGTCACATAAAAAAATGTCATGATAAATAGTATCTACTACCAAATCACAAAATAAAGAGTTAACTCATAATGGTAGGTTGGGTAACACATCCAGCATATTAGCAAAGTTCATAATTTTCCAAATCAAAAGTCAATTCAAGACTAATATCGAAGCAAAATCGAATAGTAAACATGGATCGTTTAGGACCCTATATTGAGCTTCTAAAAAGGCCCAATGGGTTTATTTTGTTTTATGATGAAAGGGTTATCAGGTATAAAGACTCAATTGAAATGTTAGAGAACAAAAATATATAAGGCTAAGCGTTGCGTGCGCCCTGCGAAAAGCATAGGGTGCTTGCGAGGCACAAAAAGGCACTGTCGCACCATATGTGGGCCGCTTCGCTGCCACCCCACATTGCAATGCGCATGAGGTGATGTGAGCGCCTTTGATAACACTGATATGTATTCTTATTTGTATCCTACAACTTAAAAGAAGATACCTGTACACAGTTCTGTATCCTATCGGATATGGATAAAAACTAAAAGAAGATACCTGTATATGTTTCTATATCCTATAGGATAGGATATGCATAAAAACTAAAAGAAGATATATGTCTGTATCCATATCCTAAGAATATGTTTTGTGTGGTTGTGAGGGGCAGTTGGGGGGTGGGAGGATGAGTAGTATATTTGTATCCATATTCTATCAGATACAGATAGTATTTCCATTAGTATCCTATCGAATATCAATACAGATATATCAATGGAATCCATATCCTGTTTCATCCCTAATCACCAAAGTTGCATGGTTAAGGGCACTGGTACAGGTACGAGTATAGGACAACAAATTCGTAAAAGGTCGAGTACAGGATGGAAGCTAAATATATGTATGTTATTCATATTTATATATATTAAAATTAATAATTTACGTAAGATCAATATTGTTTTTTCATTTACATAAGATCAATATTTAAGAAATATATGTGAAGTGTACAATGTATGTCTATGTCCAATAAGTGCTGAGAAGTGCTTTAAATTAAAACATGTATTATATAATCGAGTATATGCCAGAGCTAACATATGCATATATTCAAGAAGCTTCCAAGAAGTTTACGCATCGGGTATGGGTACGGCTTCTGATAGAAGTACCTAGGTAACATAGCTAATCACACTTCATGCATCTGGTCAGTTTAATTATGATGATAATCCATTGGAACGTGTATGGCATTAATTGTGTTGCCAATAATAAGTACAATTTCTGTTTGATCACACAAGGTATCATTTTTGTTTGATGGACTATTTGTGCATAAAAATTAATAAAATGTTACAAAAATATTAAATTCCAACAGCATAACAAAGTAAAAGGATAACTCACCAAGATCATTCCCATTAATGTGGAAGTGCATCCAACCATAAGTACTTTATCATTACTTCTAAACCATGTCCACACTCCGGTGCAAGTCCCAGTTATGAGACCACCCAAAATAGCGCCCATTAAAAGCACTGCTCCTGAACAATCATAAGCAACAAGTGCTTCTATACCGGTTGACTGGAATAACTCCCAAGCATCTCTAGCAGAGTGATTGAAGCCTTTTCCATTAACTGCAATCTGATGAGAGAAAAAACGTCATGCAAGTTTTAAATGTTCCCAGAATATACGATAACTTTATATGTTATGCCTAAAAGAGATGAAAATCAAGTTCAGTTAATAGTCAAACAACATGGTGTTGATGAAGAATACTACAGTAGCTAGATTTTTTTTTTTTTTGAAAAGCAGTAGCTAGAATTTAAGAGACTATTATTTAGTTCCACATTGAAAAATCATGCAACTGTACTAGTTTGTTTAACTACAAATAAAACATGCCTATCCCCACTGCCTGTACTGACAACACCAAAGGCAATTATGCAGAATAACCTCCCCCCTCCCCCCACCACCCACCCAAAACAAAAAAAATGGCCAAAAAATCTTACTTATGGTATGATTCAGCTTTCTTCTATGGATCAGAGATCTCTTCAATGTAGTGTTAATATTTGGAGTGTGGTCCAATTACCCCGAATCCTTAACTTTTTCTGTCTAGACTCATGTCGCTCCTCTACGACTATATACATTAAGGGCAATATGCAGAATTTCACCCCCCCCCCAACCACCCCACCCCACAACGAAAAAAAAGCTGAATCTTACTTATGATATGATCAGCTTTCTTCTATGGACAGAGATCCTCTTCAATTAGTGTTACTTGGAGTGTGTCCATTACCCCAATCCTTACACTTTTTCCAATTTCGAAGGCTTAGATGAAGCCATGTAGAACTCTAAATATTATATTGAAATTCACTATTGTCTTCAAAACCACTATGTGAAAACTAGTATTGTGATAGTGAAAATCCTATGTGGCTTCATCTCAGCCATTGGAATGAAAAAATTGGACCCTCTCCAATTACCATCTAATTGGAGAGGATTCAAATTAGGGGTGGGTGTGGGCCAATTAGAACTGCATGCCTAACCGGGTCAACCCGCTTTAGGTCAAGATCCGGCCCAACCTACAGTGAGCCGGGCCCAACCCTGCCCATGATATACCCAGGCCTAGCCCACGTCCGACCTGGCCCAACAGGCCTTAGGTAATAGTTATATGTTGATTTTAATTTACTAAACTTTATTCAGTATTTTAATGAATATTTATAGTCATTTTTATTTATTGAAAATGCTCAAATTATTGTGAATCTTTCATCCTTTGAGTCGCCAATAATAAATTTATAGGGTTTAGACTTTTTAGAAAAATAAAATACAGGTTTCCCTCTTTAAATCATACATAATAACATGAAAACAAATTGAAAAAAAAAGAATGCAGGTCGATAGGCAACCCAAACCGTTGGCTGGGTCCAGCCCCAAATCCGAGGACAAAGTCCTCGGCCCGGCCCGCCAAGGCCCGCTCGGGCCCGTGTTTGAACTGGCCTGATCCAAATCTAGGCTGGCCGGTTCATGGGTCAGGCCCAACCAGGCCCACGCCCACACCCAATCCGAATCCTTCTTCTATCTACTACTTCATCCTAATACATGTCTCCATATCTTAGACCTTTCTATCATCTTTATATACTAGTTGCATAAACACATAAGTCTACCCTCCTAAGAAACTGTGGATGATGCATGAGAACAAAGTTCAAGAACCTATTAATTCTCTCCTATTATACTAAGTCAAGTGCATATATCAAGATGGATGGTAAGGATCATATGAGGGATGAGCCGACGTGGTATTCTCACAAGCTTATTTTGACAACCATATCTGAACGGAAAATTTAAGGCTCATAACGTAAGGCACACTTTAATAACTCTAGTTAAGAAAATAGTGTATTCAGGATCACATAAGAGAAATCTCCAAAATAGAGTACAAGAGAAAAGGACTACAAACCTGAACATATGCATATTTATTGAAAAAACGAACTAGTGTCTCCACAAGGTGAAACAAAAAGTCAACACAACAAAGTAGACATTCGTTGTTGCCAATCTTTGATCGAACTCCTCTGATCTAAGCATGTGAGGAAAAAAGAAGAATTAGATACATGACGAGAATAATCAGAAGAATTACGATTGAACACCATGAACTTTTGCAGCAAACAAACAACAGTAAATACTACATATACCTCCCAGCGCAATGTCCTTATGGCGGCTGTAAAGAGTGATCCATAGCAAATGCTACCAAATGAAGTTGTCACTGCATAGCGCAATGACTTCACCAACGGTTTTGGAGGCATTGATTCGGCTCTCCGACCGCCATGGATAAGAACAAGAAAAACCATGCCAGATACTATAACATGTACTGTATTACAAACCACTGCGCCTGTCCAAAATAAACTCACTGAGAATACCTGCAATATAGAGAACAAGACAAGAATGTCATCTACAATGCACTTAATATATTAACAACGGTACAGACTAAACAGCAGCAGACAAAAGAGAAACTTGCCAGCTCACCACAAGAAGCCACCAGCTTCCACCATCTTGCATGTTTAAAGCAATAACACCAGCTACTCCAAATGACCACAATACCATCCAGCAAAGCATGATCAACAGAGAAACATAGGACACTTGCATCACCTCTGGAAGATCCCAAACCATCTTTACAGCTTTTTGCAACACTAACATTGTGAATGGAATCCTATAGAAAGTTATCGTTTAGTTATATTAATTTAAAATACATATTGCTTCAAAAGCTAATTGTTGAATGGATAACATAGATTATATATATAATTACATTTTGTTAAGCTTTACAATAAATAAAACATTTTTCTATTTTTTTAATTGCACACTAGAATATCCTTTATGAATAAAATGTTACTTGGGTACTTCTATCATGAAGCCGTACCCATACCCGACACTATCCATACCCAAATTTCATGGCCGCTCCTTGGATATATATGCATACATTTATTCAATCATGTACTCAATTATATGATATATGTATTAATTTAAAACACTTGTCATACACTTCTTGGACGAATATCCTACACTTCAAATCATTTCTTGAAACCTGTTAGACATGGGTCAGGTTCGTTTTAGCCCATACCCAAGTTCGAAACTACAGTTTTAGAGGGTCATTTGGGTGTCTAGTCCAAAAACAAGCAGTTTCCAATTTATAATAGTCAACATAATAAAACAAACTTTAAAATGTGGTAGAAAATTTAATTCTAATAACACATGAACTGAAAAACAATAATGAGCTAAGTTATTAATTTCAATATTTACATGTAGTCGTGTCCACATACCCTACATTTTACAAATTTGTTGTGTCTCGTACCATACCTATACCCATACACGTTTCCAGGAAACCTAGTGTATGAACCTCATTCTTTACGTATACACATGTTCTGTAGTTTTTAGAATTCTGTACCCTTTTTATGCCACCTATGATGTCTTATTTCAGTGTCCCACATTAGTGACCATAGGCAACATATTGGTCATCAGTTTTCAAAGCTGATATAGGGCATTTACATGAAAACATAAATTTTAATCTTTTTTCCCCATTAAAAGTAAAGTTTCCTCATTTGCCCACTCAAGTTTTAGTCACTGTTTATATGATGATGCGTCTGTAACGGCTAACCATATTCCAATGGAGAGAAACGCTCAAGCAAAATGAATGGATAAAATCCAAAATGGTTACATGATGTGGAGGATTATGTCAAATGCATAACGTACCAATATACAAAAATAAAAATCTAAGTTTTCTTTCTAAAGTAACCATCACTAGATTAATAACTGAACATGGCTAATCTATTACTTCAAAAAAAAATGAACTTGGCTAAATTAATGAACTGACTAAGGAATTTTTAACTCAAGAATAAGTCAATGGCAAGGCACAATTCATCAGTCCAAACCTGACAAAGGGGATTTTCATGAAACTCAAGTTTTAGTCTTTGTTTACATGATGATGCATCTAAAAACCGCTAAGTTTTCAACAGGGCGGGGATAGAATCTAAAACAGTTACTTTTATTCTTTTGTAGGAACCAAAAGAAAAGATACCAGTCTGTCACAGACATCATCCTCATCAATCCCATGCTAATTGTTAACTTTTGTAACCACTCTTTGTGAATGAACTATCTTCTTTAGTTTAATGGGAATACAAAAGACTATTATAACAATCCATTTACCTAATATTTTCGCAAAGGGGCAAACATGCTTCATATACCCTTATTTTTTCAAAGTAATTACATGTGGATGCATCCATAATTGCTGAGGAACTAAGTACTGAAGCAGACAAAAAAAGTATGTAAATTTTAAATGGCTATGTGATTAAACCATGAAAGAATACATACCTATCAATCACAGACATTACATACATAAATTGCAATCCGGCCCCAACCGCAAAAGCAACCCCCCAGAAGAAAAACTTTCCCCAAAAGCACAACACACTGATCACCGCCAAATAAGTCGTCAAGCTATGAACCGAAACCTTCATCATCTGCTCCGCCCTGCTCCCCAGCAAAATCAACCACGCCACTGCCAATGCTGCCCCAATGCCTCCCGCAGCACCATATAGCGGCCAGTACGTCTCCGTCAGAAAACTACATTAACAGGTCAAAGTCATTTCGAGGACAATTCAATAAAAAGGGCAAATTCCATAAAACCATCATGCATTATTGAAATTTTTGTATAAATCTACTACAAACTATTCTTATTACAGTTAAAAACTTTTAAGTCTATAGAAAATTAAAAATGTGGCATACCATCAGAAAACTATAGTAATAAAAGTCATGTAACTATTAGGAAGCCAAGTTTTTGGGCACAATTCATTAATATAGGGGAAATTTTTGCAAAAACTATCATGAATTATTAGAAAGTTTGCACAAAATTACTATACACTACTTTTATTACAGCGGAATTACAAGGAAATATTACAAACTTCCAGATCTATAAAGAATACCACATACCATCAGAATGATATAATCTACATAAATAGAAGTCATGTAGAAGGTCAAAGTCATGTAGGAGGTCAAAGTCATCTAGGAGACAATTTATTAATAAAGGGAAATTTTCAAAAATCATTCATGCATTATAAAAGACTTTGTCCATAATTATTCTAAACTACGCTTATTATAGAAAAATATTGCAAACTTTAAAAACTATAGATAATACTATATACCATAAAAAATAAAAAATAAACATCAATAGAAGTCATGTACAAGGTCCAAGTCATCTAGAGAACAATTCATTAATAAATAGGCAAACTTTGCAAAACTACCATGCATTAATGAATTGTTCTCTAAATGACTTTGACCTTATACACAACTTTATTAGCCTGGTGGAGCCAGGGGGCCAAGGGGTGACCATGGCGTCTCTGACTTATTACAAACAAGGCTAGGTATATAAGTTCTTTTCTCATATTAGTCCCTCCAATCTTTCATATTTTAAATTAGTCCCCAATTTTTTCTATTTGAAAGTAATCCCTCAAATATATCATATTCGAAATTGTCTCCCAAAACTTCATATCTTGCAATTAATGTTCCAAACTTTTGAAGTGTTTGAAGCTTTGAAATTACCCTTTATTATGTTTACCATTTCAATTGTTAACCACGGTTGGGTAGTGATTAACTAGCGACGGGTAGTCACCAAATCAACCAAAGTCAACATCGAAATCTACCAAAACTAGGCTCAAAATCAATAGTATTGTTTCAAACAAGTTTAATAGTATAATGTGCAAAGCATTGTTAATTTGTCAATTCTTCAAAAAGACTATAATTTATAGTCTGTGGTTAGAGAGAAACCAACTACAACCAGTACATTTTTGGAAAGATATTTTATAAGCCTAAAGTATGCTGATTCAACATATATTGAAATGTTTTAACTTTTTAAGTATTCACTAAAATATTTCTTTTTTTGTAAAATTTCTACTTTAGGTTCTTCTTTCACCTACTTACATATATGAAAGTTAATTATACATTGTACTATTGATTGTGTTTCAATACATTGTAAACTTTTTGGAAAGAGATTTTATAAGACTAAAGTATGCTGATTTAACATATATTGAAATGTTTTGACATTTAAGTATTCACTAAAATATTTCTTTTTTTGTAAAATTTGTACTTTAGGTTCTTCTTTCACCTATTTACATATACGAAAGTTAATTATACATTGTAATATTGATCGTGTTTCAATACATTGTAAAATTTTTGGAAAGAGATTTTATAAGACTAAAGTATGCTGATTCAACATATATTGAAATGTTTTAACTTTTAAGTATTCACTAAAATATTTCTTTTTTGTAAAATTTGCACCTTAGGTTCCGCTTTCACCAATTTACATATATGAAAGTTAATTATACATTGTAATATTGATCGTGTTTTGATCAATTCGTAGTCTTACAGTTTTATTTTGGCCCCCACCCAAAATTAAAAAAACCCTGCCTTGGGCACCATTTATTAGTGTAGTTTTCTTACAGTATGTGGTATTTTGTATTGTAATATTTTTACATAACAAAATTAGTCTAGATCGTATTTTTGTATATAAAATCCTAAATCATTCATAATAGGTTTGTGAAATTGCCCTTTTGTTAAAGAATTATCCCCTAAATATGATGATATAGATTTGAAAGTTTGTCATATTTTTCTGTAGTAAAAATATTTTGGCGTACTTTTATACAAAACTGTTTATGACATTCACGCAAAACTGGTCAAAACTAGGGTCATTTGCACTTTAATACCCCAAAGTTGCACCGTTTCCTAACTTTGATACTGTGGACGTTCTATTTTGATAGTTTGATACTCCAGATGGTACAAAAATTTGACATTAATATTGTTCAAGAAAAGTGAATAGCAAACAATTTTCTTACCAAATTTTAATTTTGAGGTATAGGGTATCAAATTGCCAATTTTAAGTCAATTTGAAAACTTTGGAGCATCAAACTGTCAAAATAAAACTTCAGCCTATCAAAATCAGTAAAGGATGAAACTTTGAGGTATTAAAGCGTAAATAAGCCTAAAAACTACAATAATTAGGGTGGCCAGTTGGCAAACCGGTCTCCGCCGACGACCGTCGTTATGTTGGTGAACCGATCAATGTTGAGCCGGTCGGGTTTCTTGAACCGGTTCAATCCAAGAAGCCCGAGAACAAATCCAATGGCGAGAAGATGAAGCACAAACACGCAGAGCCAAAACACGTCCCTCCACAGCCTCCTCGATTCTATCGCCGCGGCCACCGCCGCCGGCGAGGAGGAGGATGACGTGTCGATCCCGCCGTCGATCTGGTGGCGATCGGAATCGTGGACCGAGGGGAAAGACGCGAAATCGGAGTCGGAGCTCATGGGGAACTGGGGATTAGGGTTTTGAATTGGGCGGAGACTTCGAAGGGCTATTGGCAATTGGAGGCGAGGAGTTTATTTATTATTAACTGAATCCGAGGGTGAGAAAGTGGGTGCGGTTGAAGTTCGAAAGTTTTCAAAATCCTGGGGACTTGATGAGGATGGACGCAGATTGATGGTGTACGGTGTTTTTAGCGGTTTGATGGGGACAGGAACATGGAAATGACGCATGTGAGAAAAATTTGTAAATTTATTTATTTACTTGTTTTTTATTTAGGGGTTTTTCGATATTGGTCCCTTACTTCATCGCTAATTTGATATTAGTCCCTCATATCGTCATATTTTGATATTAGCCCCTCAAATACACTTTAGTCATTGACAATGGTCCCTATGGTTAGTTGGTGTTACAAGCTAACGGAATATTTTGTTAACTCTAACAGTGGAACTCATTGGGACAGTTATGTCCTCAGTTAAAAACCCAAACCCGCATTCAATGGACCCAAAACCTATTAAGAGTCTCATCTTCTTCCCCCCAACAATAATATTTCGGAACCCATAAAAACACCCACATGAAACTCAAATCTTGGCCTGCACTCCATATTTCCTCATCTCCTCTTCCAATTTAGACCCTCAGTGGCAAGGGAGGTAGTGCAGACGGTGCTAACATGAGATGTTTTTGCGGGTTACAAAGCAATATAAGGACTTGCAAGCAAGAGGCGAATAAGGGTTTACAATTCTACGGCTGCCCACAGTATCGGAATTCAACATACAAGGGTTATGGGTACTTTACTTGGGTTGATGATAATAGGAGCTTGATGGTGAAAATGTCAAAGCATATTAGCATGTTATCTAAGAAGGTTGATGAAGTTTTAATGTGGATGAAGACTGTTTTTGTTGTGCTAGCGGTGTTAGTTTTTGCTAAAATTATGTAACAAGTTTAGGAGTTATGTAAAATTATGTTGAAGAATTGTATGGAATTTGAGAAGAATTGATATAATTTGTGAAATTTTAATAAAATTATTGGTATATATTTGATGTTATTTGTGCAATTTAATGTTATTTGTGGATTTTGATCATATTTGTGCTTATTAATATTACTGAATTGATTTTGTTCACATTATACATAAATCAATTATAGAGAAGCTGGTAACATTATAGACAAGATACATAAATCAAATACATTAAGGACAATAGAGTAAAACCAAGTTTCATATTGACTTGCAAGTATTTTACATGGCCAAATATACACAAAAACCATGCCATAACTTAAACATTGACTTAACACAATATATATAAGTGTTTCTTAGTGTACATGATCCTAACATGACAAAATATCATGTACACATTGAAACACTTGAGCCTATACCCAAAATACCATTTGATCAAGCTTTCAAAAAAAAGCCATGTATCAAGACAACTGATCGCTCCATACTTAAGCGTATACACAAAAGTTACTTAGCAAAAAAAATATTAGCACTAATTGATTGATCTAGCTACTGCATGTGTTGCTGATGATTATGACGCTGATGGTGTTGGTGGATGTGTTATTGGTGTTGGCTACAATATTGTTGCTTCTCATGTCGCTGAAAGGGTTGTTGTTGATGGTGTTGGCACACCATTAGTAATGTGCCTTATACCCCTTCCTCCTCTAACAGCAAACATCTTTCTTGTGCTTCCCTTTGTTCCAGTAATTCTAAAAGAACAGATACTTATTAGCATCTAACCTAAAACTGAAAAACAATGTGTACATCATATTGGTCCTGCTACTTGACTTGCTTGGTCTTGTGCATGATTTTATGCATGTTGAGTATTCTCATCACTGTCATTTATAGGTTGCTCACATTTGGTCTTGTGATGTCCAAGGACTTTGCATCTACTGCATCTATGAACCCTCTTGCTCACTTGTGATGGCCTCTCTCTACCAAGATCATCTTCGCCTCTCCCTCTTATCCTCTTCTTCTTTGGTCTTCCTCTTGGTCTCTTTGTATGTAAGGGGTTATTGTGAAATATTTCACATATATTTCCCACTGGTCCTTTGTTGGTAGAACCCCTATAAACTCTTTATATGCCAATTTATAATTGCATTTACATATAAAATACATAAGTGTTAGCAACATGAATATAAAATTAAATGAAATTATGAAAATAAGTTAACATGAATAAATTGCATACATATCCACACTAGAATAATGATTATAGAATTGGGACCAATATGCATTCCTTATTGTTGTAATCAAATTAGCAACATGAATGCATGGCTTCTTGTTCTAATCAAATTAGCAACATGAATGCATGGCAACCCAGTGATCTGCCATTCTCTACAACTGCATAATACGATATTCAAGATTAACCACTCTCCTTTCAAACTCATTCTCCACTTTAGTTTCATCATCATTAGTATACTTGACTTGATATCCTCCTAACTTGTTACTCAAATCTTGGCAATACATATCTGCATAAGAAACCAACTTGCCCTTCCATTTTGTTTCTTGCTTTCTCCTTTTATTGAACTTTTCCATCATTTTAGATCTAATTTTATTAATAAGATCAACCACATGAAGGAATCTAGCATCTAATAACCATGAAATAGTAGACTCAGACAAGTTGTTGACAATATAGTGATTCACTGCAACAGTATTGAATTTAGATCTAGACCACACAAAGTGTTGATTAGATGTTCGTCTTTTGTAAGCTGCATGTAAAACTTGATCTAACGCCCTCATGTGCATGTTGTATTCCTCAAAAGTGTATGCTCTAGCTGTATCCCACAAAGTTTTCTCATAAAAATTCCCTTTAAAGTCTTTTCTAAAATTCTTCCAAATATGCCTTATAAAAACTCTATGCTCTACAGTAGGTGATACGGGTGTATCTTCTCTTTGGGAGCTTAGCGATCCTCATGGGAGCTTGAGGATAGATGATTCTCATGATAGCATGAGAATAGGGGTGTAAAATAGTATAGTGGAACGCAGGTGGAAGCGTGGAACGAGACGACGAGCAGCAGATTCGAAGAATCCAGATTTCAGCCTGTGAGTCGACTCATACATGTACATGAGTCGACTCATCAGGTTGAGTCGACTCATTCCTGTCATGAGTCGACTCAAGAACTCAAGTCCTGTTAGCAAAAAGTTTCTGACTAGTCGACTCATCAGTTATGAGTCGACTAATATGAGGTCATGAGTCGACTCATAACTATTCATGAGTCGATTCATCGGAGCTTTCCAGATTCGTTAAGGACTCTATTTACACGTTTTCCTGTTTGGGTTAGTCTTGGTTATTTACCATATTGCCATCCACGTTTGTACACCTATATAAAGGATTGTTTAGGGTTTCTAAACATCATCTTAGAGATCTTAGATCAGAGAGAAATTCTAATCTTTGTATTAGGGTTTAGGGAGGATTGAGAGGTTGTTCTCAATTCTAGAGAGATTGTGAGGGAGAGATTTATAATAATTAATTCTTCATAATCTAGAGAAGGTATTTTTCTTCGCCATACTTAATTGTTCTTGTGTTTTAGTTGTCTTCTTCTCAACCCACCTTTTGGTAATTCCGCGATGAAAGGGTGCTCGCACGGCGACTCGTATTAAGTTGGTATCAGAGCAATCAGATCATGTGAAGGGGTATCTTGTGTATGATCCTTACTCGATCACAGTACAAGAAGCTTGGCGAGATCTTTATTTCCTTGAAAGAAGTCCAGAAGATAAGGAAGAAGAAGATGGCCGAAGGAGACAATTCAACGAGGATTGATACATTGGAGAAGCAGATCGAGACGATAGGTTCGACTCTCACACAACTCGTCAGTCTTATCCATGGAGGTGGCAAACAAGGTGAATCTTCTTCGAAGAAAATAGTTGAGTCCGATGTGGAGAGAGTAGATTCAGATTCCGACGAGGAGGAGGAGACCGTTAAGACTGTATTGTATCAAGGGGGTAAGAATTCTTATCAGAACCTGAAGATTAACTTCAAGGTGGAGATTCCTGTTTATGGTGGGACTATTGACGTCGAGAGACTTGATGACTGGATCGAGCGGATGGAGACGTATTTTACTCTTTATGACTATTCGTCAAAAGAGAAGATTATGTTCGTGACTTTGAAGCTTTCAGGGCATGCGTTGACGTGGTGGAAATCCTACTGCAAGTAAGAGAAGAAGACAGTGTCGTAGAACAAGTTCAAGAAGCTACTAAAGAAGCAGTTCTATCCGGTAGGATTCCTTGAAAAGCATTGGTACAAGTGATATGGCTTACACCAAAGGGTCAATCAAACCGTTCAAGAATACACCACGGAGTTCTAATAGTAGGCGATGGTCCTCAACATTATGACAGAGGAATATTCTGTGTTTATGAAGTATATATCGGGATTGAGCGATTACATCCGAAAGGAGATAGAGCTATTCACGGTGGAATCAATTACAGAGGCGAGTGTGAAGGTTATTGCCCTCGAGGGAAAGCAAAAGAAGGGCAACGAGGCTAAGGGAGACTCCAAACAGACAGGAGACGAGTCTAGTGGTTCTTAATCTAAGGATGAGAAGAAGAAGGGTGATCCAGGGAAAGCAGAGCTGATTTGTAATCACTACGAGAAGACAGGGCACACAGCTGATCGGTGCTGGGAGAAGTATCCTCATCTCAAGCAAGAGGGTTGAAGAAGAAAGAGGAGAAAAATGCATACATGATAGCTCAAGGTATGAAAGAAGTCCCGGGATGACAGAGCCCAACAGCAGTCTCAACCTTATGGCGGGGAAGCAGACCATGAAAGAGGACGACGACCCGAGAGAGCAACTCTTTGTTCTTAAGTTACAAGTGAAGGCTAGTTTGGTTGATACCATTATTGATTCGGGCAGCGAGAAGAATTTAATATCCGAGACATTGGTTCAGAAGCTGAGTTTGAAGACGGTCAAGCATCCGAAGCCCTATCCATTGGGGTGGATTCAGAAGGAGCAGAAACTAAGTGTAGTTGATCAATGCACTATCAGATTTGCGCTCCACGAGTCGTATATTGACGAGGTCACGTGCGACGTCATTCCATTAGATGTTTGTCAGATTATACTAGGACAATCCGTACTTATAGGATAGATATGCGATCTACGAGAGGCGGGATCAAAAGTACACATTCACTAAGGATGGTGAAAAGTTCATATTTCATTCGGCATCTCTTCCGAGGGAGACAAGCTTGGGGACAATGACGCGAGTGAAGAGACTAGTGAATGCAAACAAGAA